AACATGGCTTTTGTAGAGGGAAATCATGCCTCACCAATCTGTTAGAATTCTTTTGATAGTGTCAACCAGCATGTAGACAAGGGTGATCCAGTTGATCTATGTACTTGGATTTGACAAGGTCTCACACCAAAGGCTCTTAAACAAAGTAAGCAGTCATGGGATAAGAGGCAAGGTCCTCTCATGGATCAGTAATTGGTTAAAGGATACGAAACCGAGGGCAAGAATAAAGGGCCAGTTTTCACAGTGGAGAAAGGTAAACAGAGGGGTTTCCCCATGGATATGTACTGGGACCTGTGCTGTTCAACATTCATAAATGATCTGGAAAAAGGGAGATAAACAGTGAGGTGGCAAAGTTCGGAGATGATACAAAATTTCTAAAGCTGATTAAGTCCAAGACTAACTGTGAAGAATTGCCAAAGGATCTCACAAAAATGGATGACTGGGCAACAAAATGGCAGATGAAATTCAACATTGATAAGTGCAAAATAATGCACATTGAAAAATATAATTATAAATTTACAAACAAAATGATGAAGTCTAAATTAGATGTTACCACTCAAGAAAGAGAACTTGGGGTAATTGTGGATAGTTCTCTGAAATGTGCAGCACAGTCTAAAAAGCTAACAGAATGTTAGGGCCTGTTAGGAAAGGGATAGAAAATAAGGCAGAAAATATCACAATTCAACTGTATAAATCCATGGTACGGTCATGCCTTGAATATTGCATGTAGTTCAGATCGCCTCATCTAAAAAAAGATAGATTATTTGAAAAAGTACAGAGAAGGACAACAAAAATGATGAGGGGTATGGAACAGCTTCCCTATGAGCACATCTTAAAAAGTCTGGGACTGTTCATCTTAGAAAAAGAGATGACAAAGGGGGGATATGATAGAGAACCATAAAATCATGACTGCTGTGGAGCAAGTGAACAGGGAAGTGTTATTCACCCTTCACATAACACAAGAACCCGGGGTCACCCAACGAAATTAATAGGCAGCCAGTTTAAAATAAACATAAGGCAGTACTACTTCACACAACCCACAGTCAACCTGTGGAGCTCAGTGCCAGGGGCTGTTGTGAAGGCCAAAACGATAAATGGGTTAAAAAAAGAATTAGATAAGTTAATGGAGGATAGGTCCATCAATGGCTATTAACTAAGACGGTCAAGGTTTGAAACCCCAGGCTCTGCTAGTCCCTAAATTTCTGACAGTCAAAACACGGGACTTGACAACAGCTGATGGATCACTCAATAATTGCCTTGTTCTGTTCATTCCCTCCGAAGCTTCTGGCACCTGCCACTGTAGGAAGACAGGATACTGGGCTAAATGGACCATTAATCTGACTCCGTATAGCCATTCTTATGTTCTTAATCTGATTATATTCTTGAGCTGTACAATTTATCTAAGACTCTTCCCTTGCACACAATATCCTAAAACCCTAAGCAGGAGTCTGCTGCTAGGAAAGAAGCACAGGTGGAAAAAGGCATTCTTGGCCATTCCTGCAATTTAAGCACTTAAAATAGCTGAGGCTCCCCTTTGTGAAAATGAGTCACAAAATGTGGGCCAATTCTTCCAATTGGAGGAAGCGTATATAATCTCTGCTATTTTCCCTGGTTATTTACTCCATCCTAGCATCATTACCTCAGACTTAATGGGACTGATTCAAAGCCAGCTAGCTTTCATCCAAGTTGCTATCTTGATTAGACATGGGAAGAAGCAGTCAACTGTATTGTCTGGACCCAATAAAAAGGGGAACTATAGCCAAATGTCCTACTGAAGGCCCCAACGTTCACCTAGCCTACCTCTCTGGATAGTTTCGCATACATACAGGAAGGAGGAGAGAACGGAGTCCTGTGTTACCTGCACAAGAGATCTCTCATGACAGATGTGTAATTACCCAACTCTGCCTTCTGTCAGAAAGGAAAGAACAGCACCATTTAGACTGAATTGGTCAATCTCTGACTGGGTCTATAATATGGCTGGTCAGAAAATTTTGAAGCGTTGACAAAGGCTAAAACAACAATACTTTGTGGTCAGTAATACGAAGGCTGCTGATAAATCTCAAGGTATCAGCACATAGGTATATATTTATAAACTGATATGATGGCCACATGCGTACACACTCTTATGACACCAGAAAAATGTCCCACCCTTCCTGTACCAATTGTTAAGGTCACTGCATGGGGCACGAATACATACACATGGACATACTGGAACGTCAGTGGCAGCAGAAAGACAGAGCAGCCTTTTCCAAATCCAACTGCAACCACTCAGTTGCAGTTGGTTGCTAAGGAGTGTGCTCAAGAGATATGCTATATGCTTTTTTTCCTACACTCTGAGACTTCTTCCACACTCCACAGGTCAGATATTTTCTGCCTGGTAGCATCTTGCCAATCTGAAACATTTTGACACCTGAATTTGTGTAACAGAAAGTAACTTTCCATTGCTATAGGTAGGGGTATCCTGCCCTTTGTCAAGAATGCTCTAACGAATGTTAGTTATGCCCTGTAATCCCTGTGCATATTCAGTAAAGACCAGTAGTCTTTCACCTTTTCCCTACTGCTGACATGCTATTCAGACTCATATGGGCCAACCTGATAACTTAATACTGGCAAGGCAAACTTGTACTTCTCATTGTTTTTATAGAATGATCACTGCTTAAGCCCCAAAAGATGTCTATAGTTAGCACTTACACAAACAGAGATCACCTTTAAAAAATGCTTGTTATCCTCTTTAGATGCACCTCTTGCCTGAATCAAATTATATAAACTAGTTTACAAAGTTGAGATTTGAAAATACTAATCTCTGAAGAAATAATCGAAAAAGTTTTAAAAAATACCCATCCGCACACAACTCCATAAGCAAGTGATAGGTAAACCAGATTAAAATACAAATTAAAAAAAGCTAAGAAGGAAGTTAGTGACTGACTAGTATTTTGGAGGAAAGACTCTTCAGCTGAGAGCTGAAAAACCTCCCCCTGCAGTTCTCCACTATTCCATGGCTCCTCAAGCAGAAACAGGGATAACAAAACTTGATGTTCTTTCCCTTTTGAAAAAGTGGAGAGGTAAAATTTAAAAAACAGTAAAAGAAAAAAATCTTGATACTCCAAATAAGGGCTATTCAATGCAAATTATGCATGCTGGGGGAGATTACAAAGATACGAGGGACTTGGATAAATGAGATTCAATTGAAAAACAATTGAAGTTGATTCCACAGTATTTCCAGCTGTGACAAAAAAACAGAAATCCTGGAAATCTTGCCAGAAAACCAGTTCTTGAAAGAGAGCAGAGGTCAGACTGAGCTGAATTAGAGCATACAAGCACTTCCCTCATAGCCCCAGACAAATGCTGTTTCTGCAGATGGTCGTGAAGAGAGGCTTTTGAATCTGAATGGATCTGAAGTGCTGATTGACTATAGGGATAGCAACAATGGGCCAAATCCTGAACATTAAGGTCTCCAGGGTAGAAAGGGACCCTATACCTGTCCTAACTGGTCACTTGAGGGTTCTCCCAACATGAAAGAATCTTCAGCTGGTATAAAACTGTTACTGCAACTCTAGACAGTTAAACCATATCAGACTGCAAAGGTATGTTACTTTGCTACTACAGCCACTCATTCTTCCTTTTACGGACCATAGTTTAAGCCGGGGGTCTCAAACTCAAATGACCACAAGGGCCACATGAGGACTAGTGCATTTGCCTGAGGGCCGCATCACTGACACCTCCCTCGCTGGCCCCGGCTCCACCCCCACTCCACCCCTTCCATGAGGTCCTGCCCCTGCCCCATCTCTTCTCCCCTTGCCCCGAGTGTGCTCCTTCCCCCTCCCTCCTGGAAAGTGCTAAGCATTATACAGAGCATACAGATCACTGCTGCTCCTACAAGTCATTTCCAAGCAGTTTTAATAAAATATATACACTCAGTAATTCACCTCACTCAAAGGACAAAACATGCACTTAGTTAGATTTACTTCTGTTAAAGCCCCCCCACTGCATTGGGCTGCACCACCACTCCACCACTGCTCTGCCTCTTCCAGGGGTGGCAGGTTTATGGAAATGGTGGTGGTGCCCAGAACCTGCCCCCCCAAACTCCACCCCCACCTGCCTAAGGCTCTGGGAGGGAGTTTGGGTGGGGGTGGGGGTCTGGGGTGCAGGCTCTTGGATGGAGTTTGGGGTTAGGAGGGGGTGCAGAGGTGAGGCCGGGGGACACTCGGGGGAGGTGCGTGGGGGCGGCAGGCGGGGCCGGGGGAGAGACCCGGCCCCAAACATTGGGGAACAGCGAGCAGGGAGCTTAGCTGCCACACAAAATAACTCGCAGGGGGGGGGAGGTGAGAGGAGTTTGGCTGTGACCGGAAGTAACTGGGGTGGGGGATACGGGGAGCTTGGTGGGCCACAGGGAAGAGCTCTGAGGGCCACATGTAGCCCCCGGGCCGCGTGTTTGAGACCCCTGGTTTAAGCCAAATTTTGAGCTCTACAGGGCAGGGATTTGTTTACACAGCATCATGCATTGCGTCTATGATGAGGTAGAAACAATCACAGATACCTTAGAAATTCACCCACAAAACATTAGGGTATGTTTACAGCTTCCTGGCCTTTTAAATAATGTAGTGAGCTTGTAATTATTTAAACTGCAAGCTCTTTGGGGGCAGAGACCTTGTCGTCTTACTCTTTGGAAAGCACCTAGCATACTTTTACTGCTATATAAATAATAATCATAATAATTACCTGCTATGACCTACCAATACTCCCACATACTTTATAAGGAAGTGATTAAGGCATGTGGGGAAGGGAAGTGATTTAGACTGAAACAAACATCTCGATACTTTGCCTTATTTTATTTATTTGGGGCCAGATTATGATCTCCTTATTCATGTTAAATAGTGCCTTGCACCACTGAGACTACATGTGGAGCAAGGTACTATTCAGTGTGACAAAGGATATGGCAATCTGATCCTTGTGTTAAAACAAGGGAAACAATGATTAAACATTAGATGTGTGTTACTTACGGTTCAGCCTCAACGCTCTGATCAGGAGCTACATAGTTGGCAGGGATGTAGCCACGGAGCTTCTGTCCAGGCTGCGTTGATCCACTGTCCAGGAGGAGGCTAGCATACCACCAGCCCTCTGGAGATGTATCCAGCACCTCGAGTTTATCTCCAGCTCGGAAGCTCAGGTCCTCCTTAGTGCGGCCCTGATAATCAAATAGTGCTACAAACTTGTGGTGGTTCTTGGGCTTGGGCAAAGGAATTCTAGTCACATCTTTCTTTGTCGTTATCTGAGAAGTATTCTCTGTCTGGCAGTCATCTCCCGACCAGCCCAGGTTATCTTGGCCCATCCCCGTCTTATATCTCTCTCCCTGTCCGCCATCACTCTCTTGGAAGAGCCAAGGGGCACACCGCTGCATCCAAGTGCAATGTTTCCGGCAAAAGTTCCCCATGCTGCTCCTCTGTTTCTTTGTGGCTTCTTCTCTCCTCCTTATGTCTCCTTTCTTTTCCAAGTGGTAATACCTTTATACATACTTTTGCATTATCATCCGTTTAGTTCTTTGCAGGATATTTTTCCTCCTTTGGTACAGGGTTAAATAAATTTTGCTGCAGCTGGAAACTTTTCTCTCCAGAGCCCCAATGAGAGCTCCTTTCAAGCAGCTTCAGACTCAGGAATTATACCTGAGCATTAAAGTGCAATAGTGCATGTGGGTGAATTGTTTGCTTCCTCTTCTGATCAAGAAAACAAAAAAAGAAAGTGTTTGGGCCAAAATCTGGGAGCAACAGACAATCATTGATCTTTTTGTCCTGCCAAAAGAAAAAAAATGTAAAAATAATTAGGAATCATTAGAAAATCTTAGTGTTGACTCTTCCCAAGTTGTATTGCTTCTGATAATTCTTTTTCTTGTCCCATATGGGTGCCTGCTCTGTGATCAGCAGTGAACCTCTCTGCACATTCTAGCTCTTGATAATGAATAACCAACCTGGCCAGCCTGTTGTTTTCACAGCCTGAGACGTGGCCTGCCTGAATGTTTTTATTTGCTTCCTCATTTGCTTTGGTTTCTCTTCTCAGAGGTATGCAAGTAGGATTCCCAGTGTCCCTCCAGTGCCCCCACCTGGGAGCACAACTGCTGCTGCTTTCAACATGCAAGCTTACATTGCTTTTATGTCAGGGCTTTAGAAATTTCCCCTTACTGTGCCTGAAGTTCTTGAACTAGGTTTGGCACTTTACAAAAGAAAAAATAAATATTTGTCTGTTACAGTGAAAGTCATAGATTTTAATTCCTTCCTCATTCTTTGACTTAAAAATTAAACACACTAGCGATAGAATCATGTTACATTGTTGAATTGTACCAGCCTTTCAGGATAAACGACTATTATACTAGAGAGACAAGGCAGGTAGGTAATCTTTTATTGGATCAGTTTCATAACAATATCCAATAAAAGATTATATATATATATTGTTATATATATATATATATATAGTGTTGTGGTAGCTGTGTTGGTACCAGGATATGAGAGATACAAGGTGAGGTATATGAGAGATACAAGGTGAGGGGTGTGTGTGTGTGTTTGTGTGTGTGTGTGTTTGTGCGTGTGTGTCTTAAGAGTAAGATATATACAGATAACCAAGTGGGTTATTTTTTTGTCAATTTCCCTGGGGGAAAACTATATTTCAAAAACCAGTGTTACACTTCCTGGGGGTACCCAAGTCTATAAGGTGCCTAGTTACCAACTACCTTTAGCATGAGGAAACCTTGTCTGTGCCTGCCAGGGGTCAGATCCCCAACTCCACCAGCCACGGGCAAGCTAAACACTCTAGACTAGGGTGACCAGACAGCAAGTGTGAAAAATCGGGACTGGAGTGGGGGGTAATAGGAGCCTATATAAGAAAAAGACCCAAAAATCGGGACTGTCCCTATAAAATCGGGACATCTGGTCACCCTACTCTAGACCTACAGAGGCCTTGCACTCTCTCTGCTGGTTAGCTATTGGCACACTCCAACCCCTGAGAAGAGACAGGAGGGAACTGGATGTGCCACAGGTGCAAACACTGACACATGAGAATGTTTCTTTCGCATGAAAAATCCTAAATTTTAAGGCCAAAATCTGTCCTGATTTTCACCCCTTTAAGCCAATTAACTTGAATAGTCACAAACAGGGCATTAGTCAAGATAGATTTTGACCTTTAATGTTTAATAACAGTAAACTGGAATATTTTTTTCCTGATCCACTCTGAGGATTCAGTCCTGAATATGAAGCAACCAAATCCTCATCTGGAAGAATGGGTAGTTCCCATCTCTGATATCTTCAAATAAAACAAGACATTGAGGCTAATACACAGCCTTACCCACTAAGGAGGATGTTCCTCAGAATTTTTTTCTTGGTAACTGGTTGATAAAAATAGAGCTATAGAATGACTTTAAAGCAATACCACAATGCCCAGTGTAACAAATGCCTCCTAATGTTTGTTTAGAGACACAGAACAATAGCAATCCATATTTATATATTTAACTTTTTCCAGGTCATTCTTCCAAAGTCAAATATTGGCAAACAATTAAATTCATTGTGAGTTGCAAACAGATTTTGGTCCTCCCCACCCACCCCCCCCCTTTTTTTAGACAATTCCCTTTTGTGCTAAAAGGCATAGAAACTGACTTGGCTGCTTATTTATTGGCTCCTGTGAGCTATTTATTAAATCTCTCTGACCAACTGAGTGCACAGATAAAGAAAGTAAAGTCAATCAATATTAGAGTTCCCAAGAGACATGTTGTAGAATGATTTTTGTTACAGCATCCACTAGATTTGTTACAAAATTCTCTAGATATATTGTTTGAGGTGCCCTGGTTCAAATTACTGGCTGTAGGTCAGAACTGTCAGTAGGTCCTCAAATCTGGGTATTTCCCAAGCACATAACCAGTATATTTGTCACAATGTGAAGTTCCCTTCTAGTAACCATTTTGTCTTGGAGAGTTTACATTAGTGACTGGGTGTGTTCCTCCTGTCCTCTGTTCATTTGCATTTTCTTATATAACTACATTCTGACTCCACAGCTAACATATTATATTTAATTATATAACTGTCAAATTAATAATGAAGTATATATGGTACTTTATCCTTAAATACCATGGTAAAGGATACATGCAGTGATACTAGGTCAGATAAAAGCTACAAGGGCAATCAATCCTCATGTTTATTATTATTATCATAAACAGTAATAAGTCACCAGGACCAGATGGTATTCACCCAAGAGTTCTGAAGGAACTCCAATGTGAAATTGCGGAACTACTGTGCATAACTGTGGTATGTAACCTATCATTTAAATCACGTTCTGTACCAAATGACTGGAGGATAGCTAATGTGACACCAATTTTTAAAAAGGGTTCCAGAGGCGATCCTGACACTTACTTAGGTCAGTAAGCCTAACTTCAGTACTGGGCAATTTGACTGAAACTATAGTAAAGAACAGAATTATCAGACACATAGATGAACACGATGTGTTGGGGAAGAGCTAATATAGGTTTTTGTAAATGGTGAGGCATGATTTCCCATCTACTAGAATTCTTTGGGTGCCATTTGAGGGGCGGGGGGCAGAAGCCTCCCTGAGTTTCATACAGGAGATGTGCAAGCTCCCACGTGACGCTCTTAACTACAGCATAGCATTAGGCCCTGTCTACACAAGTTTCTGCACAGTAAAGCAGCTTTCTGCATTGTAACTCCCAAGGTGTACATACTGCCAAGTCACTTAGGCCTGGTCTACACTAACCCCCCAATTCGAACTAAGGTACGCAACTTCAGCTACGTGAATAACGTAGCTGAAGTTCGAAGTACCTTAGTTCGAACTTACCTCGGTCCAGACGCGGCAGGCAGGCTCCCCCGTCGACTTCGCGGTACTCCTCTCGCCGAGCTGGAGAACCGCAGTCGACGGCGAGCACTTCCGGGTTCGACTTATCTCGTCCAGACAAGACGCGATAAGTCGAACCCAGAAGTTCGATTTGCTTGCCGCCGAACTACCGGGTAGTGTAACTCTGTCAGTGTAGACATGCCCTTAGTGTGAAATGTAAGTTCTATAGGGGAGATGTGCCCCTCCAGCAGGGAGTCAGTATTTTGTTTACAAACAGAGGCAGGGTGATTAAGATAAGAAAGGGCTGGTGATTTAATTAAGGATCTGGAAGTCTAGCCAGTAAAACAGGAATCCCTCTGTGGAGAGGGAGGAGGGGTTGTTTTAGAGATAACACAGGGGACTCAAAAAAATACAGCTAAGCCCTCTGAGCCAAGGTTACATTGAGAAAAGGGGGAGGTTTGGGGGTGTAGGTGAAAAGAAGGGGCCAAAATCCAGAGAAGGGCTAGCAGTGGTATAGAGCAGTTACCACTCTACCTATGGTACTTATGTGGCTCCATCACCATAGTATCCGAGCACCTCACAAGGTCTAACCTGTTTCTCCTCACAGCCCTTCAGTGAGGTAGAGCAGGGCTGTTATCCCCATTGTACTGGTGGGGCACTGAAGTATAGAGAGACTAAGGGGCCAGATTTTCAAAGGTATTTAGGGCACCTATTGGGATTTCCAAAAGTGCCTAGAAGGTTAGGTGCTTTGTAAACCCCATTAGATGCCCAGCTGCATCTTTGGGTGCCTAAAAGGTTTTGAAACTCTGTCCTAAGGCACTGGCCTGAGGTCATACAGAAAGTCTATGGGGGGAAATAGAACCCAGGTCTTTCATGGCCAGCTTCCTATCCAGCAGACCAGCCTATCGTTCTACTGCATGATGCAAAAAAAAAAGAGGACTCTGATAGATGGGAGCAAAAACAAGGCAGCCAATTCTCTGAGACTCCAGCAATCGATCCAAGGCAATTGGGATGGATGTCATAGCTGACAGCATGAAAAGAAGCACAGAGGTCAGGAAGGATGGAGAATGAGAGACAGATAAGAGGAGATCACTTACCCCCGCCCCCCCCGGGGTGGCAGGTTCTGCCCCAGGCTGGGTTGTAGAGCAATGGCTGGCTGTGCAATTTTACATTTTAACTGAAAGCCATTTTGTTTTATCATTTTTTGTTTCGAGTTTGAGAAAAGGAAGGAATGAGACAGTGTCTTATCTGTCTCAGATGTGTTTATGCCTCAAATTCTTAGGGTTTCATCTGTATTTTGGCCAAGTCCAGAACAAAGAACAGAAATTGCATCCACAGAGTCCATAAAGTCAATGATTATTGCCATGATTTGTATTATTCATGGGGCACCATTTGTGTGCTCAGCACTGTTCAGAATATGTCAGAAAATGTAATCCCTGAGCCAATGTGTATCAAATGTGTACCCCTGGATAAGATGGCTCATATATTTAAGTATGAAGTGTATAGTTATTAAGCACATGTTAATATCTAGGAGTGGAGGCATTGATGGCAATAAAAGATTTCCTGAATTAAGGACTAGAAGACCCTCCAACTTTCTCTCAAGAGGAATAGCTGTCCAGAGCTCCTGTGCTTGTTTATTTTCCTTTCCTGCTTTCAGTGGCCCTGATATACCTCAAAGTCTCATTTTTTTTCTCAACTTTAAAATGTGGAATTTTCTTGGTGTTTGGTTTTAAATATTCTCCTGTGAGAACTGCAACTCAATCACTGAAGTGTTTTGTTTAAGGGCCTTCTGGAAAGTAACTAGCCTTTAAATAGAAGTAAAAGCAGTGTTGCCAACTCTTATGATTTTGTGATGAGTCTCATGATAATTATTGTTTTCCTTAATGCTCCTTGAGTCAAGTGGATATGTGATTATTTCAGCCTTTATTCTTAAAGAAAAATGAAGTTTCTAGCCCTCATGGCTGTGGAGAAGGCTTCAAAATGTGACCCCAGTCCACCCTAAAGGCTCAAAAAGCAGAAGGACAATAAAAAGAACCCCAAATCTATTATTTTACATAATCTCATGATTTTAAAGCCAATCTCATGATTTTTGGTGAGCCTGATTCATAATTTTTGAGCATTCGAGGTTGGCAATACTGTGAAAGTGACTTGAAAGTGTCAATTTCACTCCTGTTT